GGATTCTATACATCAGTGTCACTAATGCAAAAGTCTATTTTTATTTATTTATTTTTTAGTACAATTAAAATGTAATTCCCTCTCTCCCACCCTAGATCTTTATATATAGAAATATAGAAGATGGCATAAAATCTTTTAATATGAAAAATCAGTCTCTTACGTGGAGTTATTTCAATAGAGGTATGTTTCCTAACATGTTTCACTATATATATTGTATATTCATACTGAGGTATGTCTATTTTGACTTGAACAATTTCTATTGGAAAATAATCTGTCTGAACAGGGAGTTAAAGATTATATTAATTCAAATGACATGCACGGTGAGTTTCCCATTTATGAAAACTGTTTAAAAATGATTTGTTCATAACAATAAAATCAGATAAAGCTAGAACCCTAGGAGGAATATATACAAGGGTACTTCAAAAAATCCATGTCATGGAAAGATTTCTGTTGTCTTTTAATTCCATTTTCCATAAACTTTTTGAAGTACCCTCATATATGTATATGTGTGTGTGTGTATCTTTTTTTTTTTTTTTTAGTATCTGTTACTGCATACATGTGAGTGATTGAACAAGTTTTCTTTAGAAAATTTTTGAAAACATTCGCCTTAGATCTGGAACAAGAATAATAGATTTATTTTACCTTTAAAAGGCATTGACCTGCTAATATTAGATGGAATAAGTGGACAGATCTCTGCTTTGCACTAAAATATACTTTGGCAAAGGATGGAGTCGTCTAATCTAAAATTAGATTTTTTACATGAAAGTACTAAAGAGAAAAGACATGACTTGAGATTCAATAATATTGACAGTTTGTCTGGGATATCTTTCTATGGTTTTGACTGAATAATTGATACCGGAAAATGACTCTTCACAAAATTTTGGAAACTCAGCCACAGAGTGAGGGGGGAAGATGACCAGTCATGGTTCCCTGTGGACTCAACACATGAATCAGCCCTTTGCCCTGTGTGGTTCTGCCTACAGTATTCTACTTATTATTTCCAATGTTAACTACAGAAAAGAGAACAAACTCCAAAGCATAAACACAGCATGTTACAGGAAAGCCAGCAACCAAGTTTGTGTTCTACTCTTGAGTGGGCAAGATTAGTGTTGGAAAGACTGTTATTTTCTTTGAGGTTTTAGTTAATGGCAGTTCCCGAAGGGTATGGGTGTGACCTAGATTATCACCTTGAAATGCAATATTTAAAATGATTATTTTTTAAAAAGAGGGATTTCTTATTATTATAAGAACAAGATGGTATTTAGTGTCCTTCAAAATAACCCAGGTACAACTACATTTTTTAAAAGATTAATACTATACACTAAAAGACTCAAAATATTACATTATTCCTTGGCAAATTGCTTTGGTTTTGTAATTGTAAAAGAGGAACACATCTTTCACAATCACTTAAACTGTGATGTTAAGTTTAAAAAAATGAGTCACACTAGTAGGTTTACCATTTAAAACAAAAATATAATTGACTGGAAATATTGAATAGACCCTATGATTTGGTTAATTTCTGGGAAGTATTATTCTTAACGTTTCAATTAGAAAAAAACAGTTTACAACTTGAAGAAAGAGTTTAATATTATTTAAACCTCCTCTTAGTTACATATGCCTTTTAATAATGACCTTATCTCAATGACCAGGGTAAACCATATCCCAGGAAGTAATTGAGAGAGGAAAAAATGAAAAGTCACATTCAGTAGCATGCAGAAGTCAGATAGGGAGCAGAAAAAAAGGTGAAAGTATATAAGTGTTGCATTTCCGTGGACTGATATTTTGAAAGTCATTTATAACAAAGCAACAAAATTATGGCAATAATTATTCAATGATCTGCTTATAATAAAGCAAGTAGTATATACATATTTAATTTCAGCAGATGAAGCTATGTGGATAATGAAATAAATAATATGTTAAATGGAAGTTTTATTGAAATACTAAACTATTCAAAATGTGGAACAGGAATTTGCAGGAAGGGCTAAAGGGGGCGGTAGTACCTGGTGCTTTTTAATCAATCAATATATTAAACCAACAAACACACTAACAAAACTGTATTGAAACAAACTCTTGAAAAGAAAGCAGCATCTAATCAATCGAACTGAATGTTTCTATACTCTCAGAATGAGAAACTATATTATTGGAGACAAAATTAGCATCTGCCAGGTTTATTTCATTCATTATTCTCTCCTATTAGTTGCATTTACTTACCTGAAGTTTTTTTTTTTTTTTTTTTTTTTTTTTTTAAGCCATGGAATTGCAAAGGAAATGTTCTCTAAAAGAAATAGATTATCGTCGCTAGAGAAGGCCACCCGGATCCCACCTTGAGTTACCTTGCGTTTGTGGGTTCGGGGCGGTAAGTCCAACTGATGCCCTGAGCAGCCACGTAAAACTGCCTTAGCCGCGCTGCCTCGGCCACTTGGCTCCCCCAGCCTGCCCAGCTGATGCTCAGGACCACCAGGACCCAGAGGCGTGGGCAGCCCGGGAACATGGTTCCTTCCCTGCTCCTGCCCGCTGCCACGGCCCCAGGCCCGGGGCCAGGCTCTCCCAGCCGGCTGACGGCGGCGGCTGCAGTGAGCTCCTGGAGGCTGCGGGTGGCAGCCTGCCCCTCCCTGCAGCTCCTCCGGGCTCCTCTCCCTTCCCCCTTTCTGTGACTTTTCCGGGGAGGGGGTTGGTGAGGTCACGCCCCCGGTGAGGTGACAGGAGGTATGAGGGAGGGCAACCAGATTATTGACTGTTTTACTACAGATGAAGAAAGGGCAGCGATCAGAGGCTCTGGCAGGCGGGACAAAGCCCAGTGATTAACGTTCCACGGACAAAACTCCTCTTCCTCCATTACCACCCACTCCCACCACTGGAGAGGTAGCCCCTCATCATTCACCATAAAACCTGCCTGGGTCAAAACACTTGCCAGACCTTCTGCAATGCCCAATGCAATGGGATCCAGCACCCTTAACCAAATCGCTCTCATTTAGACCTGAGGAAAAGGGTTTTGTGTCCTGTCACTGGACACAGAAACGTTGTATTTTCAGATGACAAAGAAGCAAGGAGACCAGCACATGAACAGAGACTGCTGACCTACCAAGACATAGTTCTGTCTTGATAAGGGCCTGTTGCCAGCTAAAGTGGCAGCATAGCAGAGGGTTTAAAAAGCTTGGCTGGGAGAATCAGTAGTCCGGATTTTAACCCCACTTCCTAGCTCGCTGTGTGGTCTTGGGCAAGTTACTCTACCTCGCTGGAGCGGTTTTGACATCTGCAAAATATGACGATAGTAACATTTTTTACTGATAGGGTTGTTTGGAGAATAAAAGGATACTGTAAATGGTATAATTCCTAGCACTTAGAAAGCACAGCACATATTTATTACTATAATTATATATTTCCTGCCTCCTGGGCCCCTTATATTTTTTGAAGGATCCAGCTGTTTCACACTGCCTTATCTCCTGTTTTACTGTTGATAGAGGATGTGAGTATTATATTGTCTGATGAATCATTATGTCTTGTCTTGGGTTCCCTGGATCTGCATACCTCCAAGCTTCTGTCTTATGTTTTATGCATTCAATACACTCAACAAATTGTAATCTGACACCTCACGTGAAATCTTAAAGAAAACAGACTCCTCAACAACCTCCCTCTCCCCATGCACAATCTTCCATTTTTGCTCCTTTGCTAATACTATTCTATCAGCTTAGAATCTCTTCTTCTTTGCTTGTCCATTCTTTAAAGTCGAGCATTCTGTCTCCCTGATTCTGGGCTGAAATTGACTTTTCCATTTTACGAACCCCTACAACACTATTCAAAGTATATACTCATATTGATTACCCTTTATTATTCTGTGTGGATGTTTGTTATCTCCCTAACTAGATATAAACTATTCAAGAGCGGGAACGATGTCTTATACTTCTGTATCTACAATATCAGCGGTTTGCAAAGTTGGTAGACCATCAGAATTCCCTGGGGAGCTTTTACAAAATGCAGATTCAGACAGGGTTGATAACCATTGTCCTAGAATACATAGCCTAGTGATTGACATATAATAAGCAGACACTACTGGCAGTGTATCAGAGGAACATTTTTAAAGCACAATATCCCTAAATCCCAAAGTTACTACCAAAATTCTTGCAAAATTATAGTAACCTTTTGTTAGACTGCTTTACCATTTTTATTTGCATGTTGGCTTATGTGTATTTAGTCAACATCACATATTTATTGCATTACAATTCACAGAGACAAAATAACTATATTTTTTGGTTCTATTTTTTGTATCAGTTCCAGATAAACATTGTGTAACTTTCAATCACCTATTTATTAAACACGGAATTTAGAGAACATGTAAAACACATCTTTTCTTTCCTGTAGAACTTAAGGTGAAGAAGTCTTCTGCTTCTCTGATTTTCCTTTGTGGCAGGGAGTGTATGACATGCATTTGCTGGCTGATTAAAGGGTCGAGCTGTAGTTGGGACAATTGTAATTGTGCATTACATTGGTGGTAAACAAAGCATTGTACACAGATCTTATTAAACAAAACATCAAATAGAAGAACATAGCATTTGGGGAGAATCCCATTAATTTAATTAATACTAATATTCAACATTTGAATATCAGTCTTTGGGGCCTTTGAGGGAGAATGACTGGTGGAAGGAAGGTTTACAGTGACATGCATCTTCCTGTCTTGATTCTTGGTCTTTTGCAGCCTCTGGTGCCATCAAGAGGCCTCTTTGGAAGCCTTTGTAGTAGAAGTCTAGGAGGCCTCATAAACAACCACTGGAGACCCTAGAAGATTCTACAGGAATTTCCGTAAGTTAGAGATACCACCTGCCTTCCAACAAAGTAGAGAATCATTTCCTTCAACCCCAAAATAAAGAGGTATTTTTATTTCTCCACAGTCTGGTCTTCTGGTGAGTCAGATGCTCCAGTCTCTTTGGCTAACTGGTATTTCAAGTGACAGCCAGGTCAAAGCCCACAGACCACAGCAGAAACATTTGCTTCTGGTTTCTGCAGATTGTGTTGGAGGAAGAGGCGAGGTGGAGCAGGAAGGGCTGGTGGGTGCAGAATTTGGGATTGTGGTACAATCCTTCTGCTCTGGTCCAGAGCTAATCTAAAGGAAATTTCATGTCCTTCATTCACAGGTATTTCCAGAAAACTGCAGCAAATGTGCCACAGTTAAAGTCAAGTCTAGCAGGAAGCTTGATGTTCACAGATGGGATCCTGTAAAGGTTGAATGAGGTGACCAGGAGCAGAAAAGTTCTCTGAAAACGAGACCAAAAAATTAAAATAATTATATTTTCCTCAAAAGAAAGAAAGAAAATCTCTCATCATATCTGTCCCCTGAAGCTCACTATAGTCTTCTCTTTCCAGATTCCATATATCCTGTCACCCAGGCTACTTGTTGTAGGAAATTCATCTACTCACTGAGCTTTTTAGAGAGGGAGGACATCAGATTATTTTTATGTTCCCTGCATGTAGCATGGGGGATTGAGTCTATAAAAGTCTGTAAAATTCTCCCAGCAATCCTGACTTTTGCTTCTAAGGCAAGGCCATAGTCAATACCACCCAGCAGCCAATACTGGGAATGTCACGCATCCTGAAATAAGTTATGCCTTGTTAGAATATATCTGTCCCGAGGGAAATGGAAATCCTTATATAAACTCACTCTCTATTGTCACTCCACTGTCATACCTGTCTCCTACTGCTGACACAACTTCTTTCAGGGCCTGAAAATTTAATACATGCTTAAAATTTGATACATGATTATATCAAGAAAAGCCAAGTTTATTTTCTTTCTTTTTCTATTACTGATCTATTTCATTCAAAAATATCGTTATAGGTAACTTACCTTAAGGGCTCGGGTCAAATGCAGCATTTGTAAAAACTCCATATGTTCCTAGGGGGCTAAAGAACAGAAACACAAGGATGACCCAACAAATAGTGCTTAGTCCCAGAAACACACCATCCAACACGTCGTACATCCAGAAACCATGGATTACCATCCACCCCTGGAATTATGTTTTAAAAAGGAAAGAAAAGCAAATGCCAGAGACATTTTCAAGATCCCACTTAATAATTCTGTGTTATTTGTGTTGCATTTTACACCCCACTAAGGTAATGTTGATGCTTTATGTATTGAATATCTGCTATGCCCTCTAAGGTGCTGCAGCCTCTTGGTGAGAGAAAATCATTTAAAAATTCTCACCTTAATACTTGATAATCTGGCAATAGTTTTCAAAGAATGTTGGTACTGCCCCCTAGAGTCATTTTTTGATTTTCTTAATGATCAAGAGTTCTACTGACTATAGTGGGTGCTGTATGTCCTAATAGGAGGGAAAGAATTGTCCTACACCCCATGTAACTTTAGAATATCTACTCAATATTTACTCAATGTTTATATAAATATCTACTCAGTATTCATATATGTTAGAAATCCCTGAGCCTGAAACTTAACTGCTTTACATATAAATATTGAGTGTTTTTGTTTTGTTTTTTGCATCTTTTAAAATGCAATTGCCATGTAAATTGAGAGAAAATTATAACAGAGTAATTCACCATTATGAAAACTCAGGTAGTTGTTGGCAATGCCTCTGATGCTATGTGAGTCACTAATACAATGTTCACCCATCAGTCTGCCTGCGTGGCTGCTGCCTGCATAGTGATTCTACCAGAAGGTGCAAAGCGTCTGATGACCTCACAGCGTCTGTTAGCATATCTATTGAATTTATTGATTTTAAAAACATTTTGTGTAGTTAGCATATGTTATCTGTGTATTTCAGTTCAGAATAGTAAAGGGGACATTAAAAAAGGTATATTGTATAATCATTCTTATAGTAAATTAGAAAGTCAAACTAGCAAAATGTACTCAATCATAAAACATTTCCCCCTTACCTTTGAGAAGTCAAGGGACATTTCCCATCATCTGAAATGAGTGAAAAGACATGAATGATTGTTTTCAAAGGAAAAAAAAAGACACGAAGGAGAAAGCTCATCAGTGATAGAAATTACTGGGGAAAGTTAATAGACTGATTTTTCAGACGGGCTCATTATAAGGGGAGTATTGGGAACAATCTCTCCCTGAAAGGTAGAACCTGCTCTAGGCTAAATTAAACACTTGACAATATTTCCTCTTTCCTTTCTTCCTCGTTCCTTTCAGTAAAATCTCTGGTCCCCGCCTCTGGCCTCTTGGAGGCTGTATACAGAGTTTGTTTTGTTTCTCTTTGCTGTTGTTAAGATCTTTGGTTCTTGCGACCCATTTCTCTGGCACGCAAGCCCCCCCTATTGCTGCACCCTCTAACATACTCACTCAGCTGCAGCCAGGCATGCTAATCTCAGAAACAAATCCACACCAACCTAACAGCCGATGTTTCCCCTCCCTGGTAACATACGTGATCAGCCACCTCCTGTCTTAATCCAAATGACACAACTCTGATGGTTGAATCTTCAGACATGGCTGAAGTGTTTTTCTGTTATTTGGCCACAGACTGCTGGGAAGTCTGAAACCAAACTGAGACAAGACCAGAAAAAAAAAAAAAAAAAAAACCTCCTATCCCTATCAGATAAACTTATTTATTATTAAAGATATTGGAGGGTGGGTGGTTGCTGGTCCTTCTCCACAGCTCAGAGGTTTCCCTAGAAACATCTCAAAACTAAAGAAAGAACTTGAGGAACAAAGCAGGAATACTGTGATTTCTATATGATTATGGAGATCCGCATCTAGGTCTTAGGAGCTCTTGCCTCCACCTTCTGCATTTGGTTAAGCAAGCGTAAATTTTGCATGGGAGGATTACTTGTAGCTCTTGGTACATCTGTTTGGTCTGTAAGCAGAGTATTATCCTTTGCCTATTGTCTTAGTCACCCACTTACAGGAAAGTATACAAAGGAACCTTGAAAATCAGCCTCAGTGCAAGGGTAGCTTTGTGAATAGAGAGAGAACATGGGTGGGTGGGGAACAAATGTTTCTGCCCCTGGGCAGTTAGGGATAGGTGTTGAACTCCTCAATTCAATGCAAACTCTATCAGGTATTTCAACATAGTCACGTTCAGTTGCCTGGGTTTGAGCATTAGTCACCCCTCTGATGCCCTAGTTAGGAGTGATGAAGAGCCCCGTTAACTTATAAACAAAGGTTAGGAAATGTATGAGCAGGCTAAGTGTCTGGAGCACATTGAGAAAAGATGTTTCAGACCTTAAGAGACGGGCTGTTCCCTTATAGGCCAAAATTCTCTTTCTGATGATCAGTCTGATGGATATAATTTCCATTATGGACAGTCTTCATCCATTTGGTCACTTCCCTGCCTAAATTCTGCATCAGCTCCACAAGTTTTCAGGAGAAAATGCAGGTCTCTTAGCTTATCACATCAGGTCACTAATAAAGCAGTAGGTCCTTACACCTGTAATTTTATCTCCTGCCTCCTCCATAAGCTCCTTTTGATTCAGATGCACTGAACTGCTAAACATACCATTTTCCTAGCTCTTTCACACTTTCATGTCCTTCCACATGCCATTTTCTGTGCTAGAACTCCATTTCCATTTTTCCCTTGGCCAACTGCCTCTCATTTTCAAAGCTAAGCTTTAAAAAGCTTTTATGAACGGCCAATCTAGTTTAGACACCCTTGTTCTATGTTCCATAATACCCAGGTTGTATTTTTGCCCTAACGTACTTACCACACTTCAGTATTAGTACTGATTTAACTTGTCAATCTCCCCTACTGGATAATACCTTCCTACATATCAGGGACCATCATTATGGGTCTTAGTGCCTGAGAGAGTTGATCAATAAATGACTGCTATATGAAGGAATGTGAGGGAAGGAAGAATTACATTTTTCTAATTAGTGTTAGTGATAACCAAGGGTCACCTAGACTGGAAGCCCCAATCTGGTCTCGTCAGAATTTTGGGGGGAGGGCTTTTGAAAAATTTAGATTTCCAGACCCACCCCCAAGTCTCCCTGCAGGAGGATCTGTATTTTTCTCAAGTTCCCCAGGTGATTCTCATGGGCAGAAAGTTCTCAACATCACCTATTATGGCTTCATTTACTTTTAATGCAAATATTTTCAAACATGAACTACTGAAGTTGTGGTTTTGCCATAGATTATACCAAAAAAGAGAGCAAGGAGAAGACTCTTTTCTGTTTACCTTTTTGTCTGCAACGCTTTCTTAGCATAGCCAGGAGTATCCCACCCGTTACCAGACCTGTTGTAGAAGCCACTGCTCCACCAAAGTAAGTCAGGGCTTCCCGGATAGTCAATACCCCCCCTGTAAAACAAACACACACACATGCAAGACATAAGAAGTGTATTGAGTGCATTGTGCAAAAGATCAAACATTCTCCCAGAAAGGTCCAGGAACCCTGAAATGTGAGATCGAGTAGGATCATCAAAGGTCCTGGCAATGATGACAACCCAGCATGAAAGATGTGGAAGATCTGAAAGTCACAAATCCACTGCAATAGAATGGGAAGCAAGCATGATTTTATTCCTAACGTCTAAACATTAAATGTCACAGAATGCAGGAGCAAGCCCTGCCATGACCGGCAGGGAAAAGGCCTCGCGGAAGCTCTTCCATCTGCCTGCACAAATGCTCAACATCACAATCTTCAGGGAAATTCAAATCAAAACCACAGTGAGATACCATCTCACCCTAGTTATACTGGCTATAATCAGAAAGACTGAGAATAACAAATGCTGATGAGGCTGTGAAGAAAGGGGAGCTCTTCTACACTCTCAGTGGGACTGTAAATTAGTACAGCCACTATAGAAAACGGTATGGAGGTTTCTCCAACAACTACAGATAGAACCACCATATGATCCAGCAATCCCATTTTGGGGTATGTACCCAAAGGAATGGAAATCATCATGTTGAAGGGATACCTGCACTCCCATGTTCATCACAGCTCTATTTACAATAGACAAGATATGGAACTAACCTAAATGTCCATCGATGGGTGACTGGACAAGGAAAATGTGGTATATATACACCATGGAATACTACTCTGCCATAAAAAAAATGAAATTCTTCCATTTGCAGCAACATGGATGACCATGGAGAAAATTATGTTAAGTGAAATCATATTGCACCCAGGTGTTGATATTCAATGTTTTACCTCACAGATATGTACAATCAACTATGTTCAAATAAGAAAAAAAAATTTTAAAGATTTTAAAAGCCAGGTACAGAGGGCAAAATACTGCATGTCCTCATTCATAAGTGGAAGCTAAGAGAGAGAGAAGAAAGGGAAGAAAGACCACAATTATGTCCTGGACTTGCAGGGGAGAGAACAGACCTAGGGTTGTGGGGGTGGGGAGGGATGTTGGGGAGAGGTTGGGTGGGAGCATGGGGGATAATTGTAACTTGAGGTGGTGGGCATGCTGATAGCATTGATCTAATCACCACATCTTGGGCACTGGTGCTCATGGTCAGCTCTGTGCCCCATTAATACGTATAATCAATTAAAAAATATCAAATGTAATTACCAAAGGAGCCTGGGTAAGGACCCAATAAAAAGAATTAAATTATAAACACAGAAAAACTATACATGGAGGTTTGGGCAAATAAAATATACCATGGGTAATATTTTTTGTCAATCAAAGATTCAGTTATACAACAAAAAGTAGTCATAACAAGCTGCTAGAAAAAAATGGGGGAAAAAAGAGGGAGATGAAATACACCTTGCAAATAGATGAAGCTTAATTAAAGAAGATTTGTGGTATTTTTAGAGGTAAATGGTAAACGAAGGTCTTCTGAGATAATAAATTAGGACTCTTCATGAAATAACTTTCAGTTTAAGATATTTTGAAACTTCATGATGTGTTAAACAGAGATTATAAGGAAGTGAAGGGATTTATTTCACATATCTGAGCAGTGAAAAGGGGTGGTGATTATCCACACAGAGTCACTGAATTTAATTCCCACCACTCTGTATAAGGCAAGGAGATTCTGCCTGATTCATTGTGAAAAATTTATTAAGTACAGGGGAAACCCAGTGATGGAAAGCAAGACCACTGTGAGAAATACACAGAAACAAAACACTGATTTTACTATTTTTATACCCAAATGACTTTCCAAACCATATGAAAAATGTACCTTGACAGGTTGGCATGATAGTTGACCAGTGGCCATTCTTCTGGCATGTTGTTCTTGCCGAGCCATTAAGTAACTGACCCTCAGGACAATAGAAGGTACAGGTTGATCCATAGCTGAAATTTCCCCAGGGGTCAGAGCAGTTCATCGCTACTGGCGTATTAATGGGCAGTTCTGAGCATCTGACAACTGCAGAAAAAGAGAATTCAGGAGAAACAAACATATAGAATGAAGGTAAAAGAGATTGCGGTTTCATCTGTAACCTGACCAGAATTGCTACTAGATGAGGTAGAATATAAAAGATCAGAAAGGAGATGAGCTACTTCCAATATTCACACCAGCTCTTCTGATATCACACATACTAAAATAGCCACTTAAAGAATGATAGCCAAAGAACTACGATGAATACATATTAGCACCCAATAAATATCTGCTAATCGTTTAATCAATCTTGCCTCCAAAAATACTATTTACAAGATTACTATTTTTCTAAATGTTATTATTACTACATTTGTGATTACCTGGCATGTTAGCAAGTATTTATTAAAATACTTAATAAGTGTTCAGTACATCTGAACAATGGAAATTTGAAAGAAGTAAAGACTATCATCCTCTTTAAACTATTTTTTTCCAGGGAGCTTCAGGTTATTCTCTCTAATTTATGGATAAGAAACAAAAGCTCAGGAAATTAAATTTAATTAAAATAAATGAGTTTCTGCAGGAAGATAGCATCAGAACTGCCTGCTCCTTTTCACTTTACCTCTGCATGCTGGATTTACTGCTGTCCATTGTCCTGAAGGTCTGCATCTGAGAGAGCTGTCTCCCATGAGTGTGAATCCAGCTTTGCATCCAAAGTAACAAGTGGTATTCAAACCAAAGGTTCCCATATGATGCCTACAGGACATTGTTCCCTGCCCAGGAGCAATGAGGGCTGGGCACTGCACCTCCGGAGTAGGAACCGATCCTACAGCTGTTGAAATAAAATGTTTCAGTTTAGAAAACCGATATGATGCCTACAGGACATTGTTCCCTGCCCAGGAGCAATGAGGGCTGGGCACTGCACCTCTGGAGTAGGAACCGATCCTACAGCTGTTGAAATAAAATGTTTCAGTTTAGAAAACCGCCAATTAAAAGGTGCATAACATAGTTAAGGCTGATATGGAATAACTATCTTCCATTTCTTTCATAACAAGGCAGGCTCTACAAGATCTACTTAAGGAAGTTAAGAAGAACTATTAATGACAAGTATGGAAAACCAGATGATAAAAATTATTTAGAAGTGTCCTTGAAGAGATGATTCTCCTGGCCGGAAGAAGAAACTGGGAGTTAATGTTACCAATATTTTTTTAAAAGGAAGCAGAAGGCTTGGTGCACAAATACAAGAAAAGTCAAATATACACAGGCCAAGTACCTTCCCACCCCTGATTTTTTGGGAAGTGGTACTATTCTCTAGCAAAAAGAAATCATGAAAGGTAAAATGTGAATGATGCCACTGGTTTTATCATTAATTTGCTGTGTGGCAGGAAGATGATGATTGGCCTCTCTGCACCTCAATTCCTTGATGTGAAAATTGGAAAAGTGACTCCACCCCCTTGTAATCTCTCTTGGCTATGAAATAATGGAGACAACTTAATAGGTTCAATAAAGCTCTTTGAGAAAAAGAAGTCAAAAATATGAAATAAAAATATAGAAATAAAATTGTGATACAAAATAAAATTGTGAAACAAAAAAGTTCTGTTACTCTTTAGAAATCTTTTAATTCACAGGCTGTGTCTGCTAGGCTCAAGTAATATTGTAATATGCAACTGTCATACATAGGAGCTATATAAGTGTATATTATTAATGGAAAAAATTTCCAGAAGTAGAACTGTCCCAGTGAGTATATATTATTACCTTTGCACATTGGTGAAGTTGCTGACCATCTTCCAGAAGCTGTGCATTCCACATTGTTGAACCCCTCCAGATTAAAGCCCTTGTTACAGGAAAAATGGCAGGTGGAGCCAACAGTGAATTCTCCATGAGTGTCAGAACAATCCAAGCTGCCCTGTTCTGGGGCAAAGAGTCCTGGGCACTTGATGGCTGGAGTATCAAATCAAGAGTGTCACAATCTCTAAGTTTATTTAGAAGTTCTGTGTTGCACAAAGTTCATTCATTTATATATTCAACAAATATTTATTGAGCAGTTACTATATTCCAGGTGTTCTGCTAAGCAGCCAGCATTCCACAACAAATAAGACAGGCCATTTACTGCATAGTGCAGGGGAGGGTGGTGGGCTTGCAATGAGGTATATAGGTAGAGGTCACGAAAATAAGGAAGTCAGGGAATTAAGCAGTCACACTCAAGAACTCACAATTTCATCCTCTTTTCTCTACACCCTCTGCTTCAGAGACCTTGTAGTATCCCACAGCTCCCACTATCTCATCTGAATAGGTGCAGTCTAGGATTTTACTTCTGTCCACCTGAGATTACATCCTCTTAGACATTCTGTCATCTCCAAATTGAACACATCTAAAACTGTAATGTTCACCTTCTGTCTCAAACTATTTCCTCCATTTGAATATCAGGCTGTCTTTTTATAGTTCCACAGCACAGGAAAGCTCAAAACCTCCTGGTAAAACTAGATTAGTTCCTGGGAATGAATTCCCTGAACTAATCTTGTTTGTGGGTTTTTTTTTTTGTTGTTGTTGCCTCCTGGTAAAACTAGATTAGTTCCTGGGAATGAATTCCCTGAACTAATCTTGTTTGTGGGGGTTTTTTTTTTGTTGTTGTTGTTATTGTTTTAAATTTTGTATGGCTGAATTCCCTCTTGTTTTTTCTTGATTCTGGGTTCTTTGCTCACAGTGCCCTGAATTTCTTTTCATTTCTACTGAATAAAATCCCACCCATCCTCCAGGATCCAACTGTGCATAGCTTCTCTAAAGCCTCCGCTGATCGTTGCAGCCTGACCTCTTCTCTGAATGCATCAACTTTTTGTTGGAACTCGTATGCTGTTATATCACATGTCATATCTTTCCTCTCCCACTGAACAGAAAGCTTCTAAAACCCAAGAAACATTCATTTTTGTATCTCCCATAATTTTCACTGCAGGATCTCAAGAGATGGTGCTCTATAACTACTTGTCAAGTGGATGGATAAATAAATTTTTAATTTACTAACCACAATTTCCCCCCAAATTGATTTTAAAAAATTACTGCAGTTACATATTTCTTAGAATTGTATCTTTCTCCCCATTAGATTCTCTAACATAAGACTATTATTTATCAAGAAATACTGGGTTATTGGCAAACTGAGTAGCTATTCTTTCCTTAAATCCGAGGCTATTCTAAAGACAATAACTTGGCCCTTTTACTGAACTCATTTTGCTTAGCTATTTTGACTTTTAAAAACCTCTTCAAGACCTATGTGCTGCCTCACGGGAAAGTAATGTATTTGGCTTTTACATACTTTTAAAAAAGCATATGTTTTTCAGTGACAGGCTATTCACTGAAGGATTGTGGATCCTTATTGCATTAATCCATTCAAATAGGCAAAGTAACATGGCGAACTTCAGTTGAGTACTCTCAATTTGCTGAGTAATTAATAACTCCACATTGGGCAAATCAATTCTATCTACCAACATTTACTAAATGTGTCTATTGGTGTAAGTCCTAGATATCAAATCATCAAGACATTTTCACTAAGATAAATTTTTCAGAATCCCTCCAGATTACATTTTTAAGCCCAAGAATATGCACAATGTCAGCTGAATGAAAGAGGTGATCTTGTCAGCTCTTTCAACACTGTATCCCAGGGAACAGGACCTAGCACATAGTAGGAGTTTTAAAAACATTGTTGAATAAATGAATAAGTTAATAAGTGCAACTTCACATAGATGAATTCTAAT